ATATTTTCATATGTTTATATATCTACTTGATTTTAAGTATTTTTTAAATTTAAAATTTTATAATTAGATATAAAAATAGATTTTGAAATAGAAAAAATTTTATATAGTGCCGAGGTTCTAAACAATCAAATTCGAGCCTACCTCATAAATTTCATTAGAAGATATTGTTTTGATGCCCAAATATCCTCCAATTCATCTTCTCGATATCAAGATGTATGGACATAATAAAAAGATAGATTTCAAATTTTGGAAATAGTGTATTTTGTAATGCACTTTTGGACCGTCAAATTTCAAGATTTTCAAGTTTTCATAGGTCTCTTAATCTACATTATTTTTTAAGCTTTAAACTTTATAAATAAAGATGAAAATATATTTTAAGGCTATCAAAAATATTTCTGTTATTGAAACCATATTTCTCGACATTATTTGAAGGCAGGCTCTAATTTGATTGTTTAGAGCCTAGGCTCTATACAAACCGCACCCTTTGAAATAATCCTAAAAACATTTTCCATCAAAATTATGTAAGATGCACCTTATGTCTACAGCTACGAATGCATCTGTATACCACCTACACCCAATATTAATATGGGATTGTATACAAAGAGACACTTTTTTTTTTTTGGTTACAAAAAGATCACAATTACTTCAGGTCATTAGATACCAAATCGCGTGGCTTGGGATAAGTCATGAAGTCTAAATTTATTTTTTTTTGCACTTTGAATATATTCAATGGCACTCTTACAATCACCAAATTTGAAATTTTAAAAACAAGAGTGATTGTGACCTCATTGTGTAAAGAACAAATGTTTCATGTGGGTTGGACCGTATTTCTATAATATACATTTCTACAATATGCAGTCCAGAGGTCTAAGCATCCATCTTAAAGATGGATGCAAATAAGTGGTCCATCTAAAAACAATTGTAACTAACAATCGAAATGTCTTTTTGATATAATTATTATTTTAGTTTTCAAAAAAAAAATTCATGTTCATGATCTCCATGTTAAAGATTATATATCCTCCAAAAATTAGGATCAAATTATATTTTGAAAAATATATTTATTGCCAAGCCCGCATATTGTACCCCGCATTTCTACAAACCGCATCCTTTACGTATTAATATATTTTATAAGTTATTTAAAAGGTGTCTTATGCTCTCTATGTATAATTTTTCTTTAATTCATGGTTTTTTTAAAAGGAAAAGGTTTCTATACTTCACCCTATCATCCAGCCGTCCAATTTTGATCAAGAGTGCCACTTACCGTTTGATCTTAGATCCGACATCTCAAAGTATTTTATTTTTAGTTTTTTTATACAAATTGAATGAATATGAATTTGATACGTGTCATCTTCTCATTGGGGTGTACCTATAAAAAATATTAAAAATATTTTTAAAAAAAATATAATGATCAAAATACCTTTGTACCTTTTATTTTATTGAAAATATTTTTTTATATTTTTCGCTAGTGCAAGTTTAATAGAGGATGGGATGTCCAAAATTTGGTGTGAAAATAGTTTATAGAAAAAAATTTAAAATAAAATAATGTAGAGATTTGAGATTGTGATTGGGGCAATCTTAACCCGCCATTCAAAATGGAAGGTTGGATATGGAGAAATATATAAGTTTCATGCTGTAGAAAAAACATAGAAAGCTTGCCCTTTTCTAAAATCTTCTCTCCTCTTTTGATATCTCGACCACACTCACAAATCTCTCACGTACACTTTCGTAACGAAGGCTGAGAAACTTCTGGGTTGAAAGGGAGAGGAGATAAAAAAGAGAAGTTAGAGAGAGTGCGGTTAAACAAGCATAGGGCTAGTAATTTCGGTACCAAACGGCGAATAATTCTTTCTTTACACTGAATATATATATAGAATTATTAAGTTTAAAGAAATTTCTTTTAACTTAGCCATAATAGAAAATGAAGCTGATTTCATTGTAGGGATTTTTCAATCGTAGACAATAATGGAATTGAGGATGGAGTTCCGGTCAATCAACCCAGTTTTTTTTTTATTTTTTCAAATTTGGTTAATCCATTTTTTTATATTTTTTCAAAATTTGGTCAACCCACTTTTTTATATTTTTTCAAAATTATTCATCGATGAATTTTCATATTTTTTTAGTCGTTTTAGCTCTTTTTGTTAGTAGAATTGTGCTTTAAAGGTTAGGCACGGTCTTACTTAAAAAAAAAAAAAAGAAGGTGGTTGACCAAATCTTTTGTATTTTACCTAAAAGTTTTAGGGCCATATGCAAATCATTTTTTTAATTTTTAAAAAGAAAAAAAAAAAAAACTAATCATTTAATGACATTAGGTCCACTAGCGACACCGAATCCACGAACAAAAAAAACTCGACAAAAACCCTAGCCTCTTATCATTCCTTTATCTCTCTCCAAAAACTCGACAAAACCCTAGCCTCATATCATCAAACGAAACAAAACCAGACTTCCAAGATTCTCTGCCTCTCTCTCTCTGCTGCAGATTAGCCATTCAAACGAAACCAAACAAAACCAGATGTCCAAGATTCTGGTTGACAGTAAAAGCTGAAAAACACTATGAAGAAGTGGTGTAGACAAAGAATTTTGTTCCAAAGGAAATATCAGAATTATGCATGACCTTCAATCTCTCACAAAAGAACTGAGAACTTCTCTCTCTCTCTCTCTCTAAGGCAGAGTCGCCATTCAAATCAAACCAAACAAAACCCAACTTCCAGGATTCGTTTAACAGTAAAAGCATTCGAAGAATTTCGTTCAAATTTAACCAAGCCTCAAAGGAAATAGCAGAATTATGCATGATCCTCAATCTTTCTCAGAAAACAACTGAGACATATATCAAAAGAATAACAAAGCATGGGTACATTTCCTGTGCATAAGCAATCGAGACAGACAAAGAAACAGAATTGTACAAGAGAAAGAGAAAAAGAAGAGGGAAAACAAGAAAGAGAGATAAAGAGATGGAGCACAAACCAGACCATGCCATAAGCCCCTTTTCCTATGACTGTGAAGGGAGGGATGTACTTTTCTGGAAGCTCAAATACTTTGTCCTGCACATTGTGTTTAATGTACCTCACAAGACCATGATTAATGTACCTCACAAGTACAAGGCCACGATCATTTATGGCTTCTTCTCCCTCTTTTATGTGCTCCTGCAACGAACCAGAAGGACCAACCTCCTCGTTCCCCATCACATCGTGTTTTCTGTGCTCCTGTAACAAACCAGAAAAACGAACCACCTCGTCGCCCATCGAAAACCCTAGTTCTCACATCGTGTTTTCTGTCTACTTCTCTCTATATGTTCTGTTTGGTTGTTTTTTTATATGTACTGTTATGTTCATGAAAAACATAAACAATAAACAGGGAGAGGAGAGGGTTTTTGGTTGCTTCTCTATATGTACTGTTCATGAAAAACAAAAACAGGGAGAAGAGAGGGGAGAGAAATGAAGAGATTGGGATGGTTGCTGAGAGGTTGATAAAAGCGTTATTTTTCTACAGCTGCCCGTTAGAGAGAGAAAGAGAGAGTTGTTAGAGAGAGAAAGAAAGAAGGAGAGATTCAGTGCAATAACAGTAGAGAGAAATTCATTGCGATAACGGTTTAAGTTTGTTAGCTGATTGGATGGATTTTGGCCTTGCCAAAAATTAAATTGCCAAATGGCTCATCCATCATGGGTATTTTTTGCCATTTCATTTCATGCATGCAATATGTTTTCTATTTTTTAAAGTCATTTTAAGGTGAAGAAGGGTTTGGAACAATGTCTCTAATGGCTCAAGAGTATTCTCTTCATTTTTTTTTGGAATGAACCTATAATTTATTTTTAGATAATGTTATTAAAGTCATTTTAAGGTGAAGAAGGGTTAGGATCTATATTTCTAATGCCTTCAAGGGTATTTTCTTGAAGCTTTTTGGGATGAACCTATAATAATATTTTTTAATATTTCAAGTTCTCATGATTGACGTAGATGCCTTCTTTTTTTTCCTAACATGCCCCTGATATGGATATGATAGGTATGTAGCACTAGAAAGTACTATGGACATAATAGATCCACAATGGTTCTTGTGATTTTTGAAACTGCTGCTGACTTGCTAAGTTTGTAGCGGTGCAAGGTGCTTCCTCCCATCTGCACCACTGCAAACTTAGGAGGTTTGTAGCACCATCTATAGTGCCCTCACTCTGCATGAACCTTGAACACTATGGACCTAAAAGATCTGTAGTGGGGGGTATATTTTAATAATAAAAAATAGGAGAAAAAAGGGATATGCACATAAATTTTGTAAAATTAAGGTATTCTTGTAATTTTAAGAATTTAGACGGTTATGAACAATAATTTCTCAATTTTTTTTTTGAAGGCGGGCCTTCATACATCCCATGAATAATGGGCAAGTTTTCTATGCTTCCCCTCCAGCATAGAAGTTCTATCCTCCCTCTTATCCAACCGTCCATTCTGAATGGAGGGCTAAGATTGTCTCAATCACATTGTCACGTCTCTATGCTATTTTATTTTTAATTTTTTTTTTATAAACTATTTTGACACCAAATTTTGGACGTTCATTCCGCTATTAAGCTTGCACTAGCGAAAAATATAAAAAAATATTTTCCATAAAATAACATGATCAAAGTATCCTTGAAAGTTTCAAAAGGTATTTTGGTCATTATATTTTATCGAAAAATTATTTTTAATACTTTTTATAGGTGTGCCCCCAATGAGACGATAGCACGTACCAAATTTCATCTTCATGCAATTTGTATAAAACAACTAAAAATAAAATACTTTGAGACGTTGGATCTTAGATCAAACGGTGAGTGACTCTCTTGATCAAAATTGGACGACTGGATGGTAGGGAAAGGATAGAACTTCTTTGCTGTAGGGGAAGCATAGAAACCTTTCCCATGAATAATTACTAGAAAAATGTGTAAATTCTACCAAGATGATCCCAAAGAACACGACCAAGCCCTCCACTAATAGGGTTACCAGCTAAACTTCCATAAAAAAATTTCCTCTAATCCTTAGGTTGTATGCAGTGAGAACACTACCTTGACAAAAGAGCCAAAGAAAGGCCTGAATTTTATTTGGAACTAGTAGTGATCAAACCTTGTTAACATCTTATCCGCCTTAATATGTCATTATAAGGAAATTTGTAGAGGGAAGTAACCGAGAAAGTACTTGTTAGGTTTGGTTTCCAAATAATGCGATCATCCAAATTCAAAGAACAATAACTAGCATATAGGAGTTTCAATAACTCGAGAGTTTATTTACAACCTAATCTGGGATACTTTTTTATAGCGACATTGGATATTCCAAATAATTTGGTCCTATTCCTAGATTATGAGGTCTGCAATTGTAGCCTCTGGAGTATACACTGTTGGAAGAGTTAGAGAATTGAAATCTTAGTTGGGAATTACCAAGCCATCTATCAAACTAGAAATAAGTGTCCCTACTGTTTCCAACAATGATCTTGAATTGCTGAGGAATATTAGCTTGCATCTATCAATGGACTTCCATATATGAGAAATTTAGGATCTATCTTTGAGGCTCTTTATGAATATACCTCTCAAATCATCACTATATTTGTTTCATAATATCTGATTCCAAAGGCTTTGTCATTGTAGAGCACACCTAGGCCACCATTTAGTGAGAATGGCTCTATTCATAAGTTTAAGCTTTCTAAACCCCCTTGTTTCTTGGAGCCATTGCCCTATCCCATCTAACCAGAAGGAATTTTCCTCTTCCATTTTACACATAAGGCAAACTTTTTCCTCTTTTCCGTAGGTTATTTGTGGTGAGAACACCACCTTGACAAGTGAGCCGAAGAAAGGCCTGAATTTTATGTGAAACTAATAGGTTATGGTCCATCCGCCTGAATCTATCATTATAAAGCAGTTTGTAGAAGGAGGTGAATGAGAAAGAGCCTCCTCGGATTGGTTCCCAAATGATGAGATTATTCATATTTAAGGAACAATAACTAGCATTTATGAGTTTCAATAAGTCAATGAGTTTGTTTGCAACCTGATCTGGGAAACTTTTATAGCAATATTGGGTGTTCTATATAACTTGTTCCCCTTCCTGGATTCCAAGGTCTGGAACTGCAGCCTCTAGAGTAGACACTTTTTAGAAGAATTAGGGAATTGAAATCTTACTAGAGAATTACCAAGCCATCTATCAAACTAGATATAGGTGTCCTTACCATTTCCAACAATTCATCGTAAATTGTTGAGGAAAATTAGCTTACATTTATTGACGAACTTCCATATATGAGAAATTTATGAGGTTCTTTATGAATGTACCTCTCAAATCAACACCATATATGTTTCACAACACCTGAGTCCAAAGACTTTCTCATTGTAAAGCACATATAGACCATCATTTATTGAGAAGCATTCTGTTCAAAAGTTTATGCCTTTTAAAGCCTAGACCTCCTTGTTTCTTAGGAGCAGTTAGCCCATACAATCTAACCAGATGTTATTTTCTATCTCTATCGACATTTCTCCATAATAAGATTCTCAAGGGAGTGAGCAATTCTAGAAGGCGTTTGAAGAACGGACATATAGTTGATTGGGAGGTTGGAGAGTGTAGATTGAATTAAGGTTATTCTGTCCCCACATGACATCTATCTTATCTTTCAAGTATCCAATTTCTTGTGACATCTTTCCATAACGGGATCACAAATAGCTCTTAATGGTCTCTCCTCTATCATAGGCAGGCCTAGATACATAGACTATTTTTCGATCTAGCAACCATTGATATTGGCAAGTATCGATACTCTGTTATCCCCTCATGAAACACCACACAAAGTAATCATATGTTAACGTTCATACTGGAGAACACCTCGAAGCATCTCAAGAAAAGGCATCGATTCCATATTTGGTCCTTTGAGGCATCGCAAAATAATAAGGTATCATCTATGTATTATAAATAAGATATAAGCAAGCCACTAGAAGCTGCCATGAAGCCCCTCACTGAGCCAGCGTGATTCATTGAAGAAATCATTTGGCTCAAGAATTCACCCACTAAGGTGAACAAAAAGGGAGAAATGGGGCCCCCTATCAAAGAACCTAGAGGCTTGGAAGAACCCAATACTTCTTCCATTACCAGAACTGATAGAGGGATCAAAGATAAACATCCATTTATTCATACACTTCGTTAAGACCTGAATCCCATATGCCCTATAATGTTCGAAAGACGCGTTAATCTATGCAGCTGTAAGCTTTTTCCAAAATCAATTTTGCAAATGATTCCCATACTTGCTTCTCTCTTTTCGGAGTGAATGCACTCATGTGCCAAAAGCATACTATCTATTATTTGTCAACCTTTAATAATCTTTATTGAGGTTGGGAAATGATCATATGCAGCACCAATCGCAACCTCTTAGCCAACACTTTTGATATGATTTTATACAACCTTCCCATAAGGCTAATTGGCCTAAAGTCATTCAAATGCTCAAGGTATGGCTTCTTGGGTGTATGGGTGATAAAGGTGTAATTCATAGCCTTTCAAATCTTTTCCCTAGTATTGAATTCTAGAAGCATACCGAAAAGGTGCCCTTGAAAAATGTCCCAAAAGTTATGAAAGATGTCCATAGCGAAACCATAAGCTCTAGTGGGTAATTGAAATACAACTTTCTGAATTTCCTTTAAACTAAAGGGTTTTTCCAACTGGGTAGCTCACTCGGAGGACAATATTTTTAAAAAAATTGTAATTAGGAAGATGGTGGCCTCTAAATTTTACAAAATGATTTCTTATAGTATCTAAAATCGTGTGTCTAAATTATAGCCTTCTACCCCTAGAATGTGACTGCCCTATATTAAATGGGACTTTTTCCGCATTTGCTATCTTATGAAAGAATTTTATATTTTTTTCCCCTCCTTAAGCCAAGTTATTCTAGACAGTTGCCCTTCTATATATTTCCTCCTTGAGGAGATGATCATGTAGGGATGCATTTAGTGCAATCCTTTGAAGTTTTTGCTCTTCTGTGAAGCCATTGTTCACTTGTTCTACTTCATCAAGGTGCTATAATTGTGCCAAAGTTGTGTATTCTTGCACTTTCAAGAATCATTTTCATATGTTGTAGCTTGAGATGAATCGCTTCTTGGGCGATGAGGATGATTCACCGTTAATATCTCATCCAAACCCTCCTCACAAAGCACATATCAGATTTTGCACTTCTATGAGGAGTACTTTGTCCCATCAAACCTCTCGGTTTTTAGAATCTCAGAGACAAAGGTGCTTGCGGTAATCTTTCTCTACCCAAAAGCAATGTAGGAATCAAATAAAGAAAATAAAAAAATCTTAATGGTAGCAAAAAACCAAGCTCTGATACCAATGAAAGTTGGACTTATGTGATCTAGTACG